AAAGAAAGAAAGAAAGAAAGAAAGAAAGAAAGAAAGAAAGAAAGAAAGAAAGAAAGAAAGAAAGAGAGAGAGAAAGAAAGGTATAGGAAGAATACATGAAATGAAGAAAGCAACATAACCACAGAAGGAAACTGGAGCAATTTATACATAAACCCCAAATACAGAGGCAACCACCAGAAGCCAGAAGAACCAAAGAACAAATTCTCCTAAGAGACCCTGGTAAGAAGCATGGTGCTTGAACTAGATTTTAGCAATTCATAAAAGAAGAAATTTATTGTGTTTAAATACATAAAAAAAGTTTCTTTGTCTCTAGGGAGGGAGGGAAGGAAGAAAGAGGGAGGAAAGGAGGGAGAGATGAAAGTAAGGGAAGGAAAGAAGGAAGGCAGGATGGAAGGGAAAATGTTTTTAAATTTGCTTTTCGTCCCCTGCAAAGTGATAAAAAGTAGGATTTACTTTTTAGTTTCATCTAACAGACGACAAAATCAGGGAACTATAATTTGAAGACATTTCCCAAATCCAAGCATATCAACAAAAAATAAGACAAAATCATAATGGATAGACAAATTATCATTATTCAAAGCCAGTGGTTCTTGACTAGAGATGATTTTGGTAATTCCTGGAGATGTTTTTAGTTCACTAATCAAGGACAATGGGTGGATGTTACTATTAGCTAGTGGATAGAGGTCAGGAGTGCTGCTAAACATCTTACAGTGCACAAGACAGCCCCCAGCAAATAAGAAATGCCAATAGTGTTGAAAAGCTTTAGCCTCCCCATGTTGAAAAGCAGTGAGCAAACTATGTCCTACTGCCTATTCCATTGGGACACAGCCATACCCAATCATTCATGCATTGTCCGTAGCCACTTTTATGCTTCCACAGCAATTTGGATAGTCATGACAAAGACTACATGGCATACGAAACCTACAACAACTGTTAGGTGACCTTTTATAGAAAACTTCCTGACCTCTGTCCTATAACACAAGCTATTATGGGATAGGGACCAAGGACAATCCTTTCATTATTGGCCAGGTTGTATACTTTGCAACTCAGGAGAACAATGCCATATCTCTGTGTAGAAGGGCCAGGTAAGAAGAGTGACTTATGAAGACCGGTGAGCTCTAGTAGAAATTTTTCTAGAAAATCTTTTCATGGGCTCACATACATTTACTAAGTATACCAACCTTCAGCATTAAGTGTCTACATAAAGCTCATCCTGATGGAATATTAGAGTCTTAATAATTGATAGCTCTGACTTTACAGAGACAATGTACTAGATCTTTCAGGATGAAAATGTCATCTGGGAAATCAATGGCACTAGTTGCATTTCTTAAACATCTCTGGAGTGACACTGCTAAAGTAAATCCTTAAAAATTTACCCTGGGCTTTGGCAAACCAGGAAGTGCTATTCTCTCTCCTTGGCATGGTATGAATATGGAGATCATTGCAAGCAAGAGCTGCTGCACCTACTTGCTCTTTTGCATCTTCCAAATCTGAGTCTTTGTCCATCTCCTCATCACCATCATCTTCAAAATCCTCTGGATGGGAAGAAAGGATATTAAATAAATGAGGGTTTTCTTTGCCCGGGAATTAGACTCTCATCACACAGGTGTGGATATTTTTTTTTCTCACAAATAAGGAACACATTAAGTGTACAGTAGCCCTACACAAACACACTCTGATGATGCCTCCTACTACGTGTAAAGGGTGTGCAAACAGGTACTGAGCACACTGTATCGTGAAGTCTCATGGACTGTCACACTGAATGCAAATGTTACTCTGGTTTTCCTCCCACAGAATTTGGAAGTATTTATGCAACTGACATTGCCAAAGTTTAGAGATTATATGTATGCCAATTTTCTATAACTTAGATACTACCTAGCTTGAGTCCCCAATTTTTAAATTAAAAAATGTATTTGGGACAAAAGTCATCCAGTGTCTTTATAAAGCATTCAATGCTATTGTGGGAAAAATTGTTCCTGTGGAAAACCTGTTTCATGGTAGAAAGACAGGGCTGATAGGCATTGGAATCTTTTGACCTTAAGATCTTCCTGGAGGTTAAATAGTCATACTTTCAAATATCCTAATATGAGAAACATGGGGTTGTAAATAGCAAAAGTTTTATTTCAGCTTTATCCTTGGGCAAATTAATTCCACCACCAGTCAGTACAGTAGAGATGCTCGCTCACAGAATTGTGAATAGATTTTTTTAATTGGCTGAGATGACTGTACAGGCATTCTATAGCTACCAAGCAAAATGGCAACAGTTAATAATTAAGGACAAAATAGGTGATCTTGGCATTTGTTTGCCCTGTTTATAGAAAACTGCTTGTTCATTTGTGTCTCTAATTGGCTTATTAGACGATCATGGTTGACCTGTAAAACTACTTTTATGTGCATTCTTCTGACCTATTTTTAAAATGTGAAACTCAAAGCTCAGGCTGTCTACTTATTTTACCTTCTGCTGGGTCACAGGGGGGTGCAGAGGGGATGCTCCCAGGAACCAGGAAGGCATAGGCACTGCAGGCTGTGACCAAGGGAAGGGGACTCTTGGGGTAGCATTGCCTCAGGATCTGAAGCACAGCTGAGATGACAGGCTCCATGCTCTCATTGTCCAGACAGTTCTGAGCAAAGGGAAAATGTTATCAGACACTGACATCTGTGCACAGACCATTGGCTGTAAATTATTTCAGGTAGTGAACTGCACACAACCTAAATGGACAGTAAACAGCATTAATGTGGAATGTCTCATTTGAACGTGGTCTAATGTAGAATTTGCATTTTTATTTCTCGTTCATTGCTCATATGACAGTGAAATGAAATTTAGTCTGCTATTAGAGTTAAAATTATTTCAAGAGATGTTGCACCCAAGGAAAGACATTGCCCTGGACAGCTGGGTAAAGGGAAGGGGGACACCTTTCTGCATCCATCCATATATCATTGTGAATTATTGCCTAAGTTGGAGAATGAGTAGCTGAATTGATGGAAGTCTTGCTTTTCTCGTTCAGCTGTATTTAAGAGAAAAATAAAAGGAAAAAGATAAAACACAAAATCAGAAGAAAAGACTAGGTGAATCCCTTGTACTGAAATTAAATAGCATGCCTTGTCTCAAAAGCCCACAGTGTTGATCCCTCTTGGTATCTGCCAAAACAAAGAAAAATTGGGTTTGCAGATGTAACATTTTGATACTGATGGAACATGACAAGATCCTTCTTTTTTCAGACACTGTAAAAAGTGTAAGAACAAGTTTACTAAATTGAGAGAAAGAGTTGAGTATAGTTCAGTATCTCTTTGGCAAAAAGACTACCATTTTCTTTAGTTTCTTAGGAAATGTTTTATGTACTGAGTTGGTAGAGAAGTTTGACTAGTATGAGCCTCCAGTTTGATACTGCTAAAGGGTGCAGCAAGCTCAGAGGTCAATAAGTCACAGCAGCAGAGGTAGCAAAGGCTGAGTACCCACCACAAGGCACATGAATGTCTATGATGCTGCCACACTATGGTACCTTCAGGCCCATATCACATGTAGCTCCACATGAACAAACACAGAAAAAAATCTTAATAAAAATTTAACCATGAATCCAAGCTACCTAAATGGCTCCAAAATATACATAAGCCAACTTTCTCAGTGTTTTTATTTTATTTTATTGGTACAATTTAGGTATACAATATAATGACATTCATCATTGGAAATTTGCACCTTTACATAATCTCTCTTGGTTCTTATTTTTCCCC